AGGTCGGAGACCTCGCACAATCATCTGATGAAATCAGGGAATCGCCGCAAGGACAAACATCTGATAATTTGTTATCGCTGATAGCTCAAAAGGGGATCCCCTGAAATCATTGAGAGAAATGGCCACAACATCTAAACTGCTGTCTGTTCTCTCCAGATGCTTATCTCCTGCGTTTCTAGCTGCACAGATACAGGCAAAACACACCCATCTTCACATAAGAGGCCCCAAGAAGCCCCCAGGAGGCCCCAATAGGCCTCAAAACTGCCCCCCAAAGGCCACCTGCCTCAAAGAGGCTTCCTAAGCCCTGTGTAGCCATTTTGGCTCAAGCCATTTTGCTTAAGCGAGAAACGCCAACGTACGCGTCTCACCGGACCACTTGTTCCTCGATTTCGCCTTCTGTGACGTGCACTTCACGATGGCCCAGAAGGCGCCTGCCCGAGCGTGCTTGCTGATCCCTCTCCTCGCCTACGGCGTCTTCGGCACGACCTCAGCGGCTATAACTGGTACGATGCGCACTGGAACTCTGGTAATGCAACGATTCACTGGGACATGTATTGCGGTTGCTGCAGTGGAACCCAAGAACAGCAAGACGTGTGCAAAAGCGTCCGCTTGCCATCGCCGCTACCACCGACCCCAGCACCGACGCCGGTGCCTTCGCCAGCGCCGACGCCCGCACCATCGACTTCGCCAGCGCCAGCACCGACGCCCGCGCCGACGTCGGCACTGATCTCTGTTTTTCTTTCGACTGAGCGTGGGCCACGGCCCGCCCGAAGAGTCAGTGATCGAAAGTCGGGAGGGTAACAGCGCACTCACTAGCCACCGCAAGCCCGCTTCGAGTGCCAAGGCCTCGGCCCCGAACGCAGATGCAAGCCCTCAAACTGGCACCCCTTGTCTCCATAGCGTGGTGTGCTTGTGCCCTCCTGTGTCCCCGTCCCCGGAGGCGTGCAAGACAGCGAAGCCAATGGCGCCTTCGCCGTTGCGCCGTAGGCCGCCGTCGGTACACCGACGCAGGTTGCGCTTGCTAATGCCATCCGCGGGAAGCCCGGGGCCATTCGACCATGACCGTTGCTCGTCTAGCACTGCATTCACGCAGTGGTCGGCGAGGGCGTTAAACTCGCGCGGAGCCCACAGGACAACATTCAAGGCATCATGCAGAGGCCGCATGCCATACGAGTGTAGGCGGAGAATCATGTGCGAGATACGCAGGAACACTGGCACGTGATGCTCCGATCGCATTTCTGCGCGTCCGCCCAACGTCTCCGCCAAGGCCGCACAATCTACCTGAATCCGGAGGCGCCCACCCTCCGTTTGCCAGGCATTGTCCAAGGGGTGCGGCTGCATCATCGGCGGCTGGATCACCTCGGCGGGCTGCCGCGGAGAATCCGCGAATCGGAGTTTAGCGTCGCCGGTCTCTTCCGAAACGCACGGGAGTTGCCATGGAGAACTCAATGTATCTATGAAGTTGCTACATCCCCTTATCCACTCCGCCTCTGAGTTGTGAGAATCCCGCCGTAGTCGCCAGTGCGCTCCGTAAAGATGCACGAACGGCGATTCCAAAGAGAGCTTCTGTTGACCGCCGTGGGCGTGCTCGTAGCCTGCCGTCTGTCGTTCCCTGCGGGTGCTCACGAAGCAGACGGTGTCCCACCAAACTCTGGACCGGTAGTTGCGAGCGCTGGCCAGCGGGTTGTCCCCGAAATTGCACGGTGAAGATCTTTCCTGCCGCGCTGATTTGTAGATTACCTTGAGGATCTTGTGGTGTATCATGCTCACCTTAGCCCGGCGCATCCTAACCATTGGCGATTCTTCCGGTCGCCGCCTGAATCTGAACATCTGTCTGAGCTTCTCCAGCTCCCAATTTCGCATCGACCGCAGAATCCCCGCTGAGACATGCTAAGACCATGCCCCGGAGATCGCTGTCGTTGCCGGGCAGTTGTGCCATGCGCGAAGCCTTGGAAACACAGGCCCCCGCGCGCCCAATGTCTTCGCATTACGATCACATAAACAATCTGCTCGGGCTCGCTGGTGAGAGGCACTTCTATCTGTAGAGCCGCAGGGATCCAGCGGTTCCCCCAACATCTCCAACGTCTTCACTTGCTTGTACGTCAAGCGCTCGGCTGACTGAGAGACTGCGATCGGTGGAGAAATCGGCTGTCCAGGTAACGTTCCGGATGGTAGCACCTGTAAGGACGATGGTTTCCATCGTAGGTTTCCAGATTGCATTGCCCTGGTGAGCTCGCCCAGCATGGCGTTCAGCATATCCACCGCGAACACGATAATGGTGTCTGCCCACATGGCATGGGAAATTATGTATCTGCCCCGACCGATGTCCAAACTGAAACCCAATGCCCTTTCACGCCAGCTCACGACCAGGGGCTCGAGAAGGTAGTCCAAAAAGCAATTCTATTCATCTGGGGTCTCTGCGCCGCCTTGCGTCCCGCCCCTCGTGCACGCAAAGGGGTCTGTAGCACCAGCCCCAGGACCGCCGAAGTCTTAGCCGAAACGCCCCTGCAGCGGAATGCTGAATTGAGAGAATTGGGTGAGGCATGGAGTCAAAACCGGTCTCGACGTCCTCGCCCGACACTAGCAGAGGGAGGTTCCAGCAAGATGCTACGAACAACAGTTGGCGGACCAGCCCAACTTCCAAGCTGCTATTTGAGTGCCGTTTGAAACCTTAGGAATGCAGGCGTGAGGGACGCATTTGGTGTCTGAAAAAAAGGGCGGATCCAGCGCACGTGCCAGTGCTGTACGACTGGGGACTTGCAGATCCAGCGTAAGTCACCGATCTCAGCACCAATATCGGTCCCTCAGTATTGGGTCGATGATGGGTGCCACACGGACTCTTTTCCATCCGATGATTACATCGGGACGTTCGTGCAAGGAACACAAGCTGAGGCGTTTGCGCGGTGTTGTGCAGATGATGGTTCGCTTTGCTACTCTCCCCAACATTGCGGTGTGGACCAACCAGGGACATATGTTGCCGCCGCGCTGTTGTGGCATGATTTGGGCCTATTCTTGTGCACGACAAGCGAACTCTTGTCCCACACGTGTTGTGGCGCAGGTGGTGGGTGTGACAATTGGCCTGTATGGACGAGCACTACACCGACAACAGCACCGACGCCAGTGCCTTCGCCAGCGCCGACGCCCGCACCACCAGCTTCGCCAACGCCAGCACCGACGCCCACGCCGACGTTGGCCCCGCTATCGCCCACGAGGAGCACGCCCGCCAGCGCGGGGGAGACGCAGCTGCAGGTTCTGTGCGACGAGGGCTGCTCCGTGGGGGACAGGGTGACGGTCGAGGGTGGCGGAGCCAGTGAGGTGGTGACCATTGCGGGCATGGGGTCACTCAGGCCGACTCAGCCTCTCGAGAGCTCGCTCCAGGCTGGCTCCACTGTCGCTCTGAGCGATCCCGCGACGGAGGCGCCGACGCCCGCCCCCTGCGCCAGCCCGTGCGCCTGCAGCGATGGCTGCTGCAGTCGGAGAGATCCCCGCCTGGTGAATATGCACGGGGAGCGTTTTGGTCTCCTCAAGGTCCGGCGAACGCTCGCTGGTCGAGGCCCCACAGTTTTACAGCCGAGAGCGCGACGCTCCTGGCCGTCGCGGCCGTGGCACAGCGTTTTGGCGACGCCCACTCGGACGTCTACGTTGTGTCCCTCAATGTGACCGGCAATTTGGCGGACGGCGTGCGCGAGGGCGGCTTCCATTACACGGCCAAGCAGCCGCAGGCCCATAGAAAGAGAGCGGGCTGGATGAGTTTCCACTGCATTCAATTGAAGACCGTATGGGGCTGTACTGGCGGATGCATTTCCTATCTGAATCTGTTCGTCAAACACTTGGGCAAGTCGGCGTATCCGTCGGCGGTTTGCTCGGCGGTGGGGACCGCCAAGCCCGATTTGCGCTGCAAGCGCGAACTGGTCCTACAAACGGACTTCGTTTGCGGACTTCGTTTCGCAAATAACTTATTTAGATGTGTTTGACACCATGGTGCCGTGAGGATTGCCACGGCCTCTGTTTGACGCCTTATCAGTGAGAGGGGTGATAGAAAAAAGGCTTCGCAAGCCACTTCAACACATATACAAGAGACCTCATACCTACAATGAAGGCAATGATATTTTCAATTATGATGCCAACGCGTCAAAATATGTTGCTGATTCCGATCCGCCCTCCAATTATGCCCCCAGATATCTCAAGACCGCGCCCAAACACACGGAACGAATCTGCACCATTATGATAGAGAGGAGGTTGCCGGCAGGGGCCGAAGCCTTTACGGACATGTATGTATAAGTATGTACACATATATGTATATATATGTATATGTATATATACATAGATCTACGCATCTAATTGTGGTTTTCGTCTCAGTGTTTGCATCGGCGCGTCTCCTCGTGTCGGAGGTGTTTTGAGGCAGAGGTGCACGGAACCAAAACGAGTTGCGTATCAGTGGTACAATGGCGAGAGGTGTTTCCCTTGGGCACGTGTCAGGATTCTTTCACGATCCGTCGGCAACTCTGTGCGGAGTTGTGACCATCCTTGAAGGTCAGAATCGCCTTGCCAGGGACAGATACATACTGTCCGAGCGTAGGGTAAGTTCGCGAAGAGATAAGTGCAGATAGGGGAGACAAGAAGACCAGGGGGCTTGGAGGTGCTCACACGGTCTTTGCTTTTCTCGTATGTTTGAATATTTCTTGTGCATCTACACCTGTCAGCGAATTCCAAAGCTTCTCAAAACCCTGGCAGTATGTGTTGCAGACGGTGTGGAAATCCGCCCATCTGCGGGCAGTGGATGTCTGGTCCGAGATTTGGATCTCAGAGAGATGGATGGCCCAGATAGCTGATGCCGTAAATATTACAGGATCGACAGAGAGACTTGCTGGTTCCATCCCTTTCTGATCCGCCTTTCACACCCATCGATCCTCCCCTCCCCTCACCTCAGCTCGTCTCCTTTCCCGCTCCTCCTCTTCCCATTCCCTATTCCCTGCCCTGCTCACCTCACCGCGCAAAAGGAAATTTCAAGTCACACAAGCAAAGAAGAGGACCCGTTCTCTCATGGCGGCGCGTTGGCACTCCTAAATCGCGGAGCAATTGGGATGTTTGCGCACATCATCCGTGCATGCGTCATGTTTCTTTTGCTCCTCTGTTACACGTCGGTCGTTGAAAGTAGATATTATGGGATGCTACCGCTACACGTCAGTCGATGAAAGCAAGTATATTTGGATTTCGAGATCCCAACCTTTCTTCAAGCGCCTTCCTATTTCAAGAGTCGATCCATGTTTTCTGTCTCTTGGTCTTTTCTGAGAGGGCCCGAACCCAGTCTTCTGTATCCGCCCTTTTACTTCATCCTCCAACCTACTCCTTCCGACCGACGGGTAGCACATCTCACCTCCACTCGCTCAGGATAAGTCCAAACGATGCGCGGTTGAAGCAGGCGCCCGTGAAGAAGGTTGGCCCGGGGTTGTGTTGTAGCGCAGCAGCGCCGGGAGGCTGCAGGCCGGATCATCGCCAGTGTGTTGTGGTTTGACACGGTTTGCAGTGTGGTTGCCGCGACGAGGCACGGGCGCACCTCCTAAGAAAAGTGCGGACGTGCCAATTTGTGATCCGAAGAAGAAGAAGAAAGGACGAAACAATGGCCCAATCATAGATTGTCGGCACTCCGCGCGTACCTCTTGGATCGGCGCTGGGCACTCATGGTGGCGCTTCCAGCGCCATCCCCGGCTTGCTCCGCGCGCCAGGGAGGGGGTCCTGCGCGGATCCTAGAAATCCGCGCGGAGTTCGAAAAGTTTATGTTTCTGTTGTTCCTGTTCTTTTAAAGAGAGGTACGGGAGAGTGCCCATTGTGATACAGTCGAGCAGACGGCAACCAGAGAGACTCAGCGGGGAACGGAGCCAGCTTCTCTCACCGTCCCGCTCCCGCGCTCACTCATGACCGAAGCTGGTTCATGGGCTCGGCGGCAGCCCCCAGTGGTTGTGGCCCTGGAGCCTCGAAGGGCGCGGATGTGCTCTGGGAGGGCAGGTATACGGGAGTCTTTTCCGCAGCCAGACAGCCGATCCACTCGCCACTCTGCTCAGCGTTGGAGCGGGAATGGGAAAGAGAGGATGGCAAGTCGGAGGTCTGGTTGGTGGGAGGGGAGGGATTCGTTAGCAAATCATGGAACCTGGGATACCCTGTGAATTCCGTCTTTAGCGTCGACTGGTGTCGATTATTTGGGATTCGATGAGATAGCGTCGGTTAGCGCCGCGCCGACGAGCGTCGAGTTGGCGCCGAGTAGCGTCGGCTAGCGTCGACCAGCGTCGATTCGCAAAGAGCCGACAAGACGGTATGGGAGAGGCTTCAATGCGGTGCCACTGAAGGGGGGCATCGAGGAACGAGGAGGAGGAGGACAAGGAAGAGGAGGACGAGGAGGACCAGGAGGAGGACGAGGAGGAGGAGGACGAGGAGGAGGAGAACGAGGAGGACGAGGAGGAGGAGGAGGACGAGGAGGAGGAGGACGAGGAGGAGGAGGAGGAGGACGAAGAGGAGGAGGAGGAGGAGGAGGACGAGGAGGACGAGGAGGTCGAGGAGGAGGAGGACGAGGAGGACGAGGGGGACGAGGAGGAGGAGGACGAGGAGGAGGAGGATGACGAGGAGGAGGAGGAGGACGACGACGAGGAGGAGGAGGAGGACGAGGAGGACGAGGAGGAGGAGGAGGAGGACGAGGAGGAGGAGGAGGAGGAGGAGGGAGGAGGAGGAGGAGGAGGAGGACGAGGAGGAGGAGGAGGAGGCGGAGGAGGAGGACGAGGAGGAGAGGAGGAGGGACGAGGAGGAGGAGGAGGACGAGGAAGAGGAGGACGAGGAGGACCAGGAGGAGGACGAGGAGGAGGAGGAGGACGAGGAGGAGGAGGAGGAGGACGAGGAGGAGGAGGACGAGGAGGAGGACGAAGAGGAGGAGGAGGAGGAAGAGGAGGAGGAGGAGGAGGAGGAGGAGGAGGAGGAGGAGGAGACACCCTCGGAGGCCTGCGCGCCTAGCCCTGGGCCTGGCGTGGGGCACGGCGCGCTTCGGGCGGGCGTCGGCGCGCCGGCCTCAGCAGTCCAGGCGCGGACCTCCAGGAGGGCACAGTGGAGGCCCATGCCAAGAAACACCCTTGCCTGAAGTCGGGCACGTCCCTCTACAGGAGGAGTACTCAAAGATGGTAAACACAAAACAAAGCAGGGGGAGCTGTTCGACTAGTCTTGAGGATCTTGCTGAGCTTCTCTTGACCATGTTTGAATTTTTCCTTCACGATCCGCCTGTAGGGGGACACGCCCGACCTGATGCTTGCCTCGAGAGTGCCCTGGGTTCCTTGTTTGACGATAGCTTTGCGATGGAGGGCGCGACGATGCTACGCCAAAAGTCAAGGGACGTCCTGGGGTCTCGGGGTTGGGTTTCCTGTCGAAGGTTTCTTGTGGACTGGCCTTCGCTGTATGCCCGAACTGGGTTTTGTTCTTCCTGGGACGAGGAAGTCGTGATCGTTTTCGTGTTGCCCTCCCCCCCCCCCACACGGAGTAGATCTTGGCTGCTTCTGGTGCCTGTTTCGAGCAGGTGGGCACGTCGAGTCTCCCCCATAGGGCGCACTGTTGCAAACAGTCGCGCTAGGCAGAGGTCTGGAGCCAGAACCCCCCCCTCCCCCCCTCCCTCCCGCTCAATGTCGAAACGCCGAATAAGGAAACGCTCACATCCCCGACGCCGGTGGCTTTTTTCTAACATGTGTGGCCCCGAGAAGCGGACCGTTGCTTGACGGCCCCGGGGCTCGAACATTGCCCTGATGACCGAAAGTGTCCAGGGCGCCCAGGAGGGGGGTGTTGACCAAGGGGTTGGGTATCACGGCAGGGGATCCGACATCTCCTCAGATTTCACGGAGCCCCTTTTTGCTTCAGTGCGTTCCCCGGTCCCCCCTGGCCCGCGCACACGCCCCAGGCCATGACCTGCGAGCCCCCCCCCCCCTCGGATGCCCCCTTCTTGGACACCCCCGGGAGGGGAGGTGAAGAAGGACAAGCTGAAGGAGCCGCAGGTGCGCGAGGCCTCGCGTCGCGGGCGCGCGCGCGCGGGCCCGAACCCCGTCGTCAAGACGCGCGGGCGCTGGCGAGCCACTCGCGCGCCTCCAGTGGTTACGCCGGGGCGTGGTCTGCGATCGGCGCCGTTGGGGCTGAGGGGGTCGCCACGCTGCGCCAGAGGTTCTTGATGTTCACCACCCACCAAACCACCCCAACCCAACCCGAAGGCCTCACATTGACCTCCATTTCCAGTGTGGGGGGGGGGTCGGGGAACATCGAGAAAACACATATGGAACCCGTACCCCCCCAAACCCGAAATTCGGGTCTTCGGGTTGGGTTGGGGTGGCCTGGTAGGTAGTCAGATGTGCTCTCGCCAGGGCGCGGCACGGATCTCTGTCGAGGTCCCCGCCCGTCCCCCCCCCCCGGCGCGGGTGGCAGACCGCACCCGTTGCAAGCCAAGTCCTTGCGGAGTCGCCGATCCGCGCGAGTGTGTCGCCGTGATGGCAAGGGGTCCCGGAGGAGAGGAGGCTGTTCTGGGTTGCTTTTGTTGTATCTCGCTGTTCTGGGGTGTTTTTGTATCGTACTGGGCCTCTGGGGTGCCGCTGGTCGTCATCGCTGGATTGCCCTTCGAAATTCCTCACGCTGCGCGCATCTTCACCAGCCCGTCCAGAGAAAATCACCATGCGAGCTGCCCCGATCAGGGATGTGTAGCATCATGCGGTCACGCTCTGGGAGCTGCTTGGGGGCATCTTGGGGCCCTCTTGGAGTCGTTTTGGATTTGCTCTATTCGGGCACTCTTGGCCCTCTCGTGGAGCCATCCATCTTGGAGGCATCAGGGGCCTTTTTGGAAGCAATCGATCCAAGCAGCAAGCAGGCGGTTTTCATTACGGCGGAGGCCGAGAACATGTTTCTTGGAAAGCTCTTGGGACCGTCTTGGGCCCCTCCTGAGGCCTTCTTGGGCCACCTTGAGACCTCGAGAGCCCATCGGAAGCGAAAAGGCGACAATACCTGACACATTGCTTTTCCCGTTGGTTGTGACATCATGTTGGCCTCTCTTGTGGGTTCTTGCGAGGCTCCGTGGTCACTTGGAACCGTCTTGGGGCGGTGCTCGGGTTTCTTGGAGGCATGTTGGAAGCCGTCTGGAGACATGCTGCGCGATCTGGTGCAATCGGAAGGCCATCTTGAGCTGTCAGGGGCCCTCTTGGGCCCTCTTGGCCTTCCAGCCTTCGCGCCCAGGCCCGTCCAGACCCCCGGGAGGGGGCAGCAGGAGAGAGGTGAGCCTTTTCCCCAAGGAGCACCAGGAAGTTGGAGTACAATGGGAGCGCGCATCAAGTAACCATATGCTTTTCGTCAGGGTATCCTGGGTTTCTTCGCTCCTCGCTCTGCGCGATGACCTCCCGCAGCCATTGAGGGAGCTGCTGCGTTCAGGGTGCTCAAGGTTTCCCCTCAAGTGCACCTCGCTCACGGGTTCTCAGGGCTGGGTTTCTTGCGAGGGTTTCTTGCGGCCGCGCCAGCACTGTACTTCTTTCGCGGAACAGCCTACGCCCAAAGGGTTGGTGGGATCTGTCAGTATCGTTCAACCGACCCCCATCCCCATCCCCGTACCCTTCGAGACCCCCACCAAAGATTCCCCCCCCCAGTTGGGGATGCACCCCTCGAAACCCGAAAGGAACGGCCTATGTCCCCATCTGGGGGGGTAAATCGGCCAGTGGGGCCCAGGCCACGCCGCTGGGGATAGGGACCCGATAAACGATGCTCAATCTGTCATCCTGCTTTACTTATTGACAGTCCCTGGGGCCCAGCGGGCGTCCCTCCGCCCCCCCATCGGACCCCCCCTCTCGGTCCCCATTTCCGACCCCCGCTCCCCTCCGACGTCCCCTCGGACCCACCTTGGACCTCCTCGGAGCTCCCCCTCGGACCGTCCCTCGCCGACCCCCCGTGAGACCTCTCTTCCGCACTCCCCCCAGACACCCGCTCGGGTCCCCCGATCCCCCCTTCGGACACCCCTTTGGACAACCCTTCCGACCCCCCCCCTCAGCCCCCCCAGTGGAGCCCTCATCGCCCCAGATCCGCCCAGGGTAGGCCCCACAGCCTATGGGCTTTTGCCAGGGTTCATCATGGCAAGCTTTCCCGCTCCGCGTCCGGCCGCGGCGGCGGGAACCCCAGGAACGCATGCTGATTTTCGGAACGACGAAGGCGGCGGCGGCAGCGGCAGCGGCGGCTGGTCTCCCGTGGTTTTCCTGATTGCGGTCGTCTTGCGGTCTGTTATGGCCTCGGCTGGGACGTCCGGTTCGCTGTCTCCCAGCTCGGTTAGCAGGCTGTCTGGTTCTGGTTCGGCTCCGGTTCTGGTTCGCTTCGGTGTCCCGCAGTTCGGTCTCGGTGTTCCTATTCGGTTCGGTCCGATTCGTTTTTTTATGGTTTTTGTGCGGTCTTGCTACTTCTCTTGGCTCGTATTGGGCCTTTCGTATTTCAGCCAACCAGCGTTGAGGGGAAGCAGAGCGGCGCGGGTTGCAGCTGCGGAGTCGAAGGTGGCCAAAGCCAATTCGTCCTTGTTCTTCCAGTACAACACGAACCTGCGGCCGCCGTACCAGTTGCTCCTTGGCGGGGCGGGGTGTGATACGCTGCGTACCGGTGGAGCCAACATGAATGACGTGTCGCGGCGGCTGGGAGAGGCGAGGGAGGGCGATTGGCGATAGGCCTGGGCTGTGTAGGTCAGCAGGCTCCTGTATTCTTGTTGGGAGTTGTTGGGAGGCCTCTCGGACGCCTCTCAGGAGGCATTTTGAGGTGTCGTGAGGGCCTCTCGGGGGCCTCTCGGGGGCCTCCTGGGCCTCTTGGGGGCTTGTTCAGGCTTCTTGGGAGCCTCATGGGCGCATGTTCGCGGCCTCGGGGGTTATTCTTTGGCAGACGGCTCGGAGTGTCAGTTCGTGTTGCGAGTTTTGGGCCCCACGTCGGCACTCTTGGCGCTCTCATGGCCGCCTTTGGGGCTTCTTGGGCCGCCTGGAGGCCCTGTTGGGGGCTCGGGTCGTCTTGGAGCGTTGGAAGCTCAAAAAGACGAGAACGCTAGCATCCATGATGCACCACAAGTGAATCTGAGGTGCTTGCCTCTTGGGGCCCTCCATGCTTTTCCCATGGAGCCCTCTTGGGGCGTCTTGGGGGCCCTGGGCCGTCGTGAGCCCATCTTGGGCCGTCCTGGAGCTCTTTCTGGCCGTCCTGGGGGGGCTCTTGGGACCCTCTTGGCCCGTCCTGTGGCCCTCGTTGCCGCAGGAGCAGGTCACGCGACAATGCCTTGATGGCGCCCGAGAGCACCCCGAACTCTGGGCTGTGGGCCGCTTTCATAAGAATGCTCTCCATATTCAGTCTTCAATGCAGGGCGGACTACGGGACTGGAGGACAGTCCACTGTCCATTGCGTACCAAGGCACGGTGGCGGACAGCGACTGCTTGAGGGGAACGAGCGGGGTGGAATCGGCAGAACATGCAGGAGATGGGATCGAGGAGAAGACCAGTTGACGAAGAGATCAAGGGAGTGGGAGAACGAAGGCGGGAGGGAATGGATGACGGGAGGGCACGGACGAAGCGTGGGCCAGAAAGAAGGAAGGCCCAGGACATGGCATACATATATATATGTATATATGTATATGTATACATATATATAGAGAGAGAGAGAGAGAAGAGGGAGCTCAGACACGTGATTTCCTGACTCTGTCAATACGGTGCCCCCAGAAGTCCCGACCCTTGCCCCTGGGCCTATTTCTCCTTCCGAGTCGCTTTTTCGACCACGGAGGCCGAAGACGGCCGAAAATCGATTGTCGAGTCTTTTCACGACGCGATCATGTTTGCGGGGGAAGGGGGATATGATGACGTTGATGATGATGATGATGATGCTGATGATTATGATGATGATGATGATGATGATGATGATGATGATGATGATGATGATGATGGCGATGATGCTGATGCTGATGGTGACGGTGATTGTGATGGTGACCGTGGTGATGATGATGATGATGCTGATGCTGATGATGATGATGATGCTGATGATGATGATGATGATGATGATGATGATGATGATGATGATGATGATGATGATGATGATGATGATGATGATGATGATGATGATGATGGTGGTGATGGTGGTGATGGTGATGGTGATGGTGACCCTGGAGGCCGAACACCGCAGGGGGATGGCCGGAAGGGACACGTCGACGGAGCAAAGCAAGACCGCCGCAGTCGGCCAGGGCAGTGCACCCGACCCCAAGCGGAGAGGCTCCCAGGCAGCCTGCGCCTCCGAAGTGGGCAGGGGGAGCGCAGGCGAAAGACCGGAAGGAGGAGGAGGAGGAGGAGGAGGAGGAGGAGGAGGAGGAGGGGGAGGAGGGGGAGGAGAGAGGAGGGAGGGAGGAGGAGGAGGGGGAGGAGGAGGAGAGGAGGAGGAGGAGGAGGAGGAGGAGGAGGAGGAGGAGGAGGAGGAGGAGGAGGAGGAGGAGGAGCAGGAGGAGGAGGGAGGAGGAGTGGGTGGCCGCATTCGAAGCGAAGTCCGAGGCCGATAGTGACCGTGACAAGATGAGGAGGAGGAGGAGGAGGAGGAGGAGGCGGAGGAGGAGGAGAAGAATGACGAGGAGGAGGAGGAGGCGGAGGAAGAAGATGGAGGAGGAGGAGGAGGATGAGGTGGAGGAGGAGGAGGAGGAGGAGGAGGAGGAGGAGGAGGAGGAGGAGGTGTAGATGTTCGAACATTCCACGCATTTTCATGGATTCGACGAGGAAACTGATTTTGGTATATGTCAGTTCTGCAGTCGGCCCCCTACTGCGAGGAGGAGGCGGCCAGGCGTCCGAGGAGCAGCGCCCCACCCAGAAGGCGCGTACCCCGTGAGGACGCTCGTTCACTTCGCTCAGAGTCCGTTGCAGAAGCGGGTGGCATCGATGACAAAATGCGTGGATTTTGCCTCAAGCTGGGTGGCGAGTGGAGATACGAATTTCCTGAGGATGTCCATCCAGATGAAGCTGGACGTCTTGAAGGAGTGTCTGTGCCACTGCGTTGGATCAGGGATTGAAGCGTCGATGGATTGATCTCCTGAGTCCACAGCCTGGCACCAGGTCTTTCAGCAGATCACAGTATCACATTATGATGCTCTCTGAATGCTCGTGCATGGTTTCGCATGTTGCGTGAGCGTTGGTGTCGGCTCGGTCCTTTAAACAACCAATCGCTGGTAGACAGCTCATGAGCATAAGTGTGCAATGTAGCATAGGTGCACCGTGGCAGCATCATGAGAGTTTTCACGGCGATATCGGACATGCCAATCTTTTTTGGGGGACGTTATCTAGCGCAGGATGGCTTCGTGCTAAGCCACCATCAAACCAGCAGACGGTTCCTTGTCCAAACCATGGCGTGCGTTCCACGAGAGGCCAGATCTCGCGCGGTCATTAACGTTCATTCGCATCGTAGTACGTGCATCGTCTTCTGCGCGCGCGTTTGTGATTGTAATGAACGCGCAGTTCTGCGCTGACACCTCTTTGTCTCTGGGAGCAGGTCCCTATTTAGTTTTGCTAGCCAGCAGATAGGCGTGCCTCATGTCGAAATGTTAGAACACGGACTACCCGGATACGCCAGCGGCTCGGGTTTGGTTAGGTCTCTCATTAGATTTTCACGTGCGTTCCTCGTACATCCAGGCGCCACTGCGGCCCCAAATGTGCTCCGTTCCGTGCGTTAGAGCTCCTTGCGGCAAGATCTCTCTTGGACAATTTCTCTCCGCGGTGGCCTCTTTTTGGGGGGAATGCCTGGCTCTGAGGAGTCCTGGGGCTCTCCCGATTGCACTGCATCGCACGCGCAGCCCTGCACCGATGGGAGCGCCCACCGGATCTGTGCGCCTCCGCGGCTCCAGCAGGGCTGCCAGCACAGGCCGTGCGGCGAAGCAGGCGCTTGCGGGTGTCCCGGGGTCCCGGTCCACCTCGCGCGCCCTGCTGTCTCGGGGGTCGAGGGGCCTGCCTTTCCTCTTCCTGCTTCGACGGGCCGGGCCAAGGCCCAATCCACTTTCGCGCTTGATTGCTCTGCATTTCAGCCTGATTCTTTCAGCGCGGCCGGCAGCTGCTAGCCTTGAGGAGGGGGGCGGAATGTGACCGCGTGCCGAGGCGCCAGGATGATTTTTCTGAGATGCTGCTGCGTTGGCGCCTCCCTCAACTTCTGAGATCAACTACGCGTGAGAGTGACCCTTCGGCGGGGTGACCTTTGGTGCAGGCTCACCGGGGTCCCCCCGATCGCTGAGCGCGATACGATGGCGGCTGCCTGCGCCCCCTCAGTCCGAGCACGAAAGGTCACTCTTGCCTGGGGTCATTCCTACGTGTAGCCCATGCGATGGCAGTCAGCCTCACGACCCCATTGCCAACGCGTCTTCCTGCCCCCACTGCCCTCTCCTTCGCCCTGCGCCTGCTGCGCTGGCCGGATGTCAGACCGCACGGTCGGAGCGCCAGAGTGAAGGAGGAGCAAGCGGAGCGGCATGCAAGAGTGGGGGGGCCCGATTGGTGGGGGGGGGTAGGCATGAGGGGGGGGAGAGGCATCGACCCCCAACCGCCCACTGATCGCCGATGGGGGCCCGAGAGCCCCGGCCTGCCCAGGAAGGTGCGGCCTCGCCATCGGAGGCCTGTCGCCCAGCCGCCGGCGAGGCGTCGCCGATTCCAGGCCGATGCATCCCCCCCCCCCCGCATGCCAGTCCCCCCCCCCCCGACCGTCGCCCCGCAACCGGCAGCAGCCGCGGGAAGCGGCAGCCGGCCCGCGAGGAGTGCGGGAGGAGCAGAGGCGCCGTGGGACACACAAAAATGAATAAGCACAAAGAGCAAGATTCCTGATATTTTCTCATATGTTCGGGGTTTTTGTCTTCCCCCCCGCTTCCTATCTTTCCCCATATTTTCGGGGGAATCGACGATTCGTTGTGTCTGTGTGTGTGTGTGTTTCCCCCTCGTGGGAGGAGAGGAGAGGCCCCACGAGGCATCCGTGCGAGCCTCGTGCTCTTCCCCCTCGCTTTTGTTCCCGCCCGCGTCTCCCCCTTGGCGTCCACGGGCGGCCTGCGGGCTGCTGGCCAGGTGCGGGGAAACGTAAGACTCGAGTAAGCTGGAACTCGGATTTGCCGACGCTTTTGGACGAGCGCGTCCTGGATTTGACGGGCTGGTTTTCGTAGGATGTTTGCAGCGGGAGCTCGCGCCAAATTTCAAATTGGGTCCCGTCATTTTTATGATGGCCCTGTCAGGCCAACCCGAGTCCCAGCACCCGAGTCGTGCTTCTCCTCGACAGGTGCGGTGTCCTGCCCGACGGGTCCTCGCTGTCTCGTCGCCCTCCCTCACTCAGGAGGCGACAAGGCACACAGAGACACAACGAGTCGTCGACTCCGCAGGAAACATGGGAAAATGGGGGAAGTGTGGGGGGGGAGACAGAGGCCCAGAAAGCATGGGAAACTGTAGGGAATATTGTTTTTTGTGTCTATTTGTTTTGTGTCCCAGGGCCCCTTCACTCATCCTATCTCGTCCCTCTCTTCTGTCGGTCCTCCTCCGTCCTTCTCCATCGTCCCTCGTCCTCCCCGGTCCTCCTCCCAGTGGTTTCTCTCTCTCGGCGTGGTTCCGCAGGCATCCATGGACTGCCTGTTGGCAAAGTGCATCCCCTGCCTGACAGACTGCGTCATGGGGGAGCTGGAGAAGATGGGGAGGCGCGCTGGGCAGGTGTCGGGTGACGCTTGCTATGCACATGTCAGGCGATCGCAAACATGAATCAAGGGGCGTGGATGAGCGACGGGTCCCGTTTCCATGGGAAATCGCGGATTCCCGCCGCCGAACGAAGCAGTACCGGCCGCATTTTAGGGAGGGCACCTCCCCCGATCCATGGATTTGGCGAACGCGCGCCAAAATCCATGGATCGCTAATCCATGTTTGCGCGCCCCCGAACATGCACAGATCCTCCTTGTCCTCCTCCTCCTCAACCTGCTCCTCCTCCCTTTCCTCCGCGAGGACAGAGGTGATTGGATGTTTGCTTGTTGGAATCTCATTTCGTAAGTAATGATTTTCGATGATCCTCCCTGCCTGGTGCACTTTTTGCGTTTTCTATCAAAGTACTCCTCCCAGCGCTCGCACCCTGTTTCTTTACAAGGGGGAAAGTCTTCCTCCTTAAAGTGTGTCCCTGGCGTCCGACTTGCAACAACGGCTTCCGCCTGACATTTCCCCACGATTTATTATAAAATCGCGCTCTCGCGCGGGCCTCTATCATAATGTATGCAGAATCGGCGCTCTCGCGTTGTATTTTCTTACAATTTATTCAGACGCCGCTGTGCCCCCAATATTCAGGAATCTCGCTCTCGCTTTGGATTTCCTGACGGGTTGCCTGGGAATCACGCTATCGCTCTGAACTTCTTTTCAATTCATGTTGGGTTGACGCGTCAGTGACCCGCCCGCTCGAACGGCCATCTGGGCCCGCCCGCCCGACCTGCCTGTTAGGGTCCGCCCGCCCGACCCGCCCGTTCGGTTCTGCCCTTCTGCTCTTGCTCCTGTTCCCCCTCCTTCTAATATCTCTCGTGCTCCATCCTTCTCCCTCTCCCTTGTCTCTTCCCTCCTCCTTTCGATCCCTCCCCTGTTTTAGAGGCTGCGCCAACTACACGTGGAAGGTAAGGAAGATATACTCCCAAGGTGGCTGCGATCGAAGAGGAAGAGAGCGGGTATCGAGGGTTTGGGGTAGACGTGTTTAATGGCACGCGAGTAGATAAGAGCAAACAGTCTTGAAATGATTGTTGAACTCTCACTTATGAAGAATAAGTATTGTTGATCCGGTGGAAGATGGAGAAGGAGCACGAGGAGGGGGATATCAGAAGTACGAGAAGCAAACGGGTCAGGAGCAGGAGCAGGAGTCGGAGGAGTTTGAAAAGTGGAGCAGGGTCAGGGTAACGAGCGAGAGGAGCAGGAGCATCGGGAGGAGCAGGATAATAGTCGGGGAGGAGGCGAGCGGGGATAGCATTATGTTGTGGGCGAGCCTAGCAGGCAAATGGATGATATACAGGACTTGAGGCAATATGGATGGCCCCGTCGGGAGGTGAATGGCATGACGAAGAGCGATTGGCGATGTGAGAGCAGCACTTGCACTGGAACGGAGAGCCATACTGAAAATAGCTGCCCATCAGGAGGCACAGATTGGCGCTGAGACTAGCTAAAGATCCTCGCTTTACTCGTCTGACTTGTCAGCACAAGGATGCAGGGGATGGGTGAAGGGATGCCAGCATTGCGGGCGTACACGTCTACGTTGTGATCTGATTCATTGGCATACGACGCAACGCCGACCTTTTGGGAACCCTTGTCTCTCTTGGCATCGCTCGGACGTGTGCATTTTTCCTTCGGCGAGGACCATCGAGGAGCATCCTTGACCATTTCGCGAAAAAAACACGCACGAAACCGAAAACAACACAAACAATGGACGTCCGAGCGATGGCGAGTTGCATCCTTGCCCCTTAGCTTTAGACCCAGCCCGGGTAACT